ATCGAACAACAGCTACAGAACGTGAGTAGCACGAGTCTGACTATAAGGAAGGTGAGAAAACATCATGTGATGTGGGCAGTGAGTAGTTGAGTGAGGTGAGTGAGTGAGATGAGTGAGGTGAGTGAGTGAGTGAGTGAAGAGTGAGTGAGATGAGTGAGTGAAGGTGAATGAGATCGAGCGACTGAGCTCGCAGATGGAGTATTGAAGGGTGAGTGCAGATGAGTGATGTATGAGTGAGCACATGCAACAGCATCAGCAACGACTCTCAGACACATCGCAAGTCGAGACACAGACAGCACGAGCACAACAGTGCGCATCAGAGTTGAGTGAGTGAGTGATGATGGAGACGCTGAGTATGAGTTGAGTGTGACAACACATGGCGCTTGATTCAAGTGAGCTGCGTGAAGTAGTACGAGTGAACACAACCACACGACACATGTCACACAGCAGTACACACAACGCACATAGTTGACATTACAGTGTAATACAGTGTCGAAATAGTGATAATGGTTAGTCTTGATTGTCAGGGTTTTTTCTCGCGTAGCATGTGATGGATGTGATGGTGTTGTAGTGTGTGAAAGGAGAGAGTGAGAGTATGTGTTATGTTCTGTATACTGAAACATATTTTTAGTCGTCAGCAAATATCATCGAAGTCCACCCATGCCACCTTATGTCACCTGGCCACTTGCAAGTTCACATGTTTTTGCTGAGAACTCACCTCCTTCTGCCTTTCGAACACTGAAGTTATAAAGATTACATTCCATTCCCATTCAGAATCTTTATCAGCGTGAGGAATATTCAGCAGAAACTGTCTTTTGTATATTTCTTTAGTCAAAGTTCTTATGGGACGAAATTATGCCATTTTATACATCAAAGAACATGGTTGTCCCAGAATGAGAACCCTAATTTTACCGACCTGTGATACGCCTCGTTTTGTACAGCATTAAATACTGTTGATTGATAGACTGTGTTTTATTTTCTTTTGAGGGCTGATTGTAATACCTATTAATGATTTTTTTTAATTCTTAAATCACATTTTAGAAAAAATATTATTGTGACGGGTCACCATGACTGGGCTCTCCTAAAGTATCCAAAGGAATAACCATCTCCCCAAAAATGATAAATGAAATTGAAATACGTGAAGGGTGGGCAGAAGTAAACAGATGTCGAAATCCACCTGGGGAGATGGGTGCTTCATAAGGCCACTGTTCATCATCTATCTCAAAACTAACCAGCCGTCGAGAGAACTTGCATCTTCAAATGACTCGCCTCGCCAAACAAACGTATACAAGTTACTAGAGGATTAGTTTTTTTCGACGGAAGGGTCACTCAGTCTCGTACCAAAGAACTATGAAGTAGATGCAAGAATCGTTCTTCTATGTTCTTGATAAGTTGATGGGAAAACTGTCGGGAATATGTCTGTATATCCAAATCTATTTCGATTTTATTTCTAAATCATTATTGTAGGTGTTCTTAGTGACGATGATTTATATTTTTTATCAATGTTGATATTATAGTGTTCGCATACTCATCGCACTCCCAATTAAGAATATAGTTAAAATTTCAAAAGTAATTATCATTATTCTTGACACCGTTATGCATATTATTATGGCTACAACTTAATTACAGTACATGCAGTATTCATTAGCACATTTAAGTTGTTCATAATATCAAATACATTTCTCAATCCATTATTTTATTTCATAATTCAAATAAACTTCGCCGTGGAAAATATTATAATAGTTTATCCAATACGTCTTACAGAAAACAAAACGTTTCATGCCATCATAGAAAACGCAAATGTTTGAGGGGGTAACTTATGATAGTGTAATAATATTCCGAAAAAGCAAAGTCCATGAAGACTATTATTTTACACTAAATTAGAAACACTTAAGAGTGTCCAATTACACTGATGGAAGAGATCTAAATAATCTGAAGTGGTAATAAAAGGGTTTACAATTATCACACACTCTTTACATTTGAAAAAATCATAAATACAGAAACAGACATTAATAATTCTTGTAATAATAATTAATAATAATAATAATAATAACCACAACAACAACAATAATAATAATAATGTCAATAATAATAATAATAATAAGAAGAAGAAGAAGAAGAAATAATAATAGTAATAAGAATAGTGTCTTGTATTTTTCTCATGTACCTTATAAAATAATGTAAAAAGAAAATATGATATGGGTTACGAATAATGCAATATACGTTACTACATAAATCAGAGTCACAAAATAATATTACGTCCTTTTATATACATAAATGGTTAACCATACATACTTGTGCATTTATCTCAAGCACCTTATAAAATAGTGTAAAGAGAAAATATAATTTGGGATACGAATAATGCAATATACAGTACTGCACAAATCTGAGTAACAAAATAATATTACATCCTTTTATATACATAAAACACAAAATGCCCTCTGAGCTATGAGCCATCAACTTCCTTGATTAACATATATAGTTATTATTTTTACGTATCTCAAAGGTTAGGTTTGTAGACTTACGGTGATGATGCCAATTAAGAATAGCCCCAATCATCATCCCTGAAAATCGCAGTAGGCGTACAAAATGACAAAATGAATACAATCCAGACGCTAGACTGTTTCCATTTTGATCACATTTTATGTCAAGGATTAACATCGGCAGTTATTCCCTAATCATTACCATATTTATATATAGTGTACAATAGAGCACTAGAGAATAAAACTTATTTACTGTGATACAACAAAGTAACCACCATGATAGAGGATGATAACTGATCACAATTTTGCTTTTCGTTACATCAGTTCCACTCCATAACAGAAAACGGAAGATCGTAACGGGATAACTATACTATACTGATGTAAGATAGTTTGTGCACAGCATTGCAAATAACCTTTATCACTGCAACATATCATCTATATATTTTGTTGTGATGGTTTTACATCAAGTATAATCTATATGTGGGTGTTGAAGTATGCAAAAAAACGTAAATGCGGTAAACTTGCATTAATCGCATTGACGTGTGCATATAGCTCCTGACCCCACGACCAATCATTTCCAATATCTTTGAAATGCACTCTACTTTGAATGTGTCTGTACTTTAGTTTCTGTCAAATTATATTGAAATGAGCATTCATAAAATGTACCTTCTTTAAATATATAATGCATTTTATGTTATATTGGATGTACATTTTTAGAATACTTGTTAAATAATATGCTGCACATGCACATTTATGAACGCTCTACTGTAATTCAAGTCTACGGAAGCTAAAACAGCAGAGTGAGAGGTAATATTACGGTACTGAGAATTTGTGAAAAATGAGCTTAATCTATATAGGCCTATAGCCTTTGCAATGAAGACTATAAATTATATAACAACCAACTGTACATACATTTAGGCCTAGTCCCCATAATTTTGTAAATCAGTACGTATCCTCATCGTAAAGGGGTAAGTGAACGTTAAGTATATATACAAAATACAGTGCGGGAGAAATAAAAAAAAATACTCAAATAAAAGTATTCTAATGTGCTTTCTTAAAAATGACATTGGTAAGGTATTTTGCCGAAACGCATATTCCGGATTTCCTGGCTACTTGACACGTCTTCGAAGCTCCGGCTGTAGAATGTAGAAAAAGGTCCTTTTACTGTACACTGGGAAAAGTGTCATTTTACATTTTCTGTGGAGTATCGGTTATAAAGCAATTGCCTCCATCTCTCTAGTCGCCAGAATTTACACAAAGATATTTCATGAAGGTACTCCCAGTCCGTTATCAACAATGGCCACAAAGGTGATATTAAAGGTGATTTTTACAGAACGCATTATGACATTAACCAACGTTTTTCATTTCACACATTTCCAGAGAAATGTATCAGATTCAGCTACATATATGTAAAGACGTAAAAACATAAGAAATAATAGGAATTCTAAGCACAGTTTCAAGTTACAATAGACGAAACGTGTGCATATTTGTTCATGCTGCTCCAGAGCCTACGGAACCTTGGGGACCGCTCGGTTAATGGGATATGTTCATTTGCAATCACCTGAATACACATTTCACTAGAAAGAAATGTATGCAATTAGTGTTTCTTTCACACAAACATACATTTTCTGTGTCTTGTAAAATCCGGAAGGAATTAGGCTAACTAAAATGATTTAGGTTATCAATTTCCCATTCTCTCTCTACTTCACTAAAGATAGAAAACGTGCCCAGTACACAGCCATCTACCGGCAAATTTGACAGTTTTGTCAGTACTCGCTGTTCGTTTCAGAAACCAACTTTGTTTGTTTACAGTGCTTCTTGTGTTTCCGAATTCTTTCCCTAATACATCGGTGAAAACGAACAATTAATGAAATTGTTACGATCTCAAGGATAACAGTAAATTAATGAAATATGATTAGAGTGCTCCAACTTCAGAAAATTGGCAGCTCATTACCACCCAACTACTTATTCCTTCAGCTATGAGGTAAGACAAGCCCAAATTCACACCTTTAAATGTATAAAATATTGTAACTAACAAAGCAGTCTGTTAGGAAATGGCTCATTCGAAATCTTTCATGTTGTTGGCTTGAATTGAGGTCTCTGACGTCCTGTTGTAAACATTTACCCAAAGAGATGCTCTCTCTCTCTCTCTCTCTCTCTCTCTCTCTCTCTCTCTCTCTCTCTCTCTCTCTCTCTCTCTCTCTCTCTCTCTCTCTCTCTCTCTCTCTCTCTCTCTCTCTCTCTCTCTCTCTCTCTCTCTCTCTCTCTCTCTCTCTCTCTCTCTCTCTCTCTCTCTCTCTCTCTCTCTCTCTCTCGTCTTTCTCTTTCTCTCTTTCTCTCTTTCTCTCTTCTCTCTCTTTCTCTCTTTCTCTCTCTCTCTCTCTCTCTCTCTCTCTCTCTCTCTCTCTCTCTCTCTCTCTCTCTCTCTCTCTCTCTCTCTCTCTGTGCTGTGTGTGTGTGTGTGTGTGTGCGTGTGTGTGTGTGTTCGAGGTTAGGAGGGGCAAGTAAAGTCTCGAAGGAAGGCACTGTACTATATATTGCGAGGGAGTACATGGAGTAAAACCGGTCGGTAGGTTGTTATGAATGATCATTAATTCAAATGTTATAGTTCCATATATTCGAATGTTTATAGTCTGCGTATTGAAATTGGTTTGAAATAAACCTATATAAAAGTGAACTTCTAGAGGGCTTATGAAGAAGTTTTTAGTGTTCACTGTATTGTCCGTTTAATGTATTATTTATGCCCAGTGTAGGCCAATAATGTCCCTTTGTAGGCAGGTTAATCTTTCTAGTTGCCATTTTAACTAGCTAAAAAAAACACCACTCACAGATGAATTACTTATCCCTTTAAGTCCTAAATTCAAGCTTTTAAGATAACAAAATCACAACACTACATAAACACCGAATATCCGTCATTAGAATCGGATTCTCCTCTGCAACGTGCAGTCTCCTGCATTGAAGCAACAGCGTCATTATAACTAGGTAGTCCGTCTACCGACAACTGGATTTCGTTCGCTACAAAGTAAGGCGAATTGGAATATGCAGGAGGAACCCCGTGACGTGAGCTGTGTCTTTGGCCCTCACACGCCCCCTCCTCTGCCTGGGGTTCATGGCCCGGCAAAGAGCCGTGAAGTTGTCTTGAGCCTTGCATTTCTGCCAGAAAGAGCACACTCGACTGACGATCCTGTAGGATGACCTGGTCATACGAAGGTGGTTCTTCCGCGTATACCAAGGGCGTGTTCGGCTCGATCGGAACGGCGTCGTCATCCGTTGGATCGTTGTCCGAGGAGCACTTCAGGAAGAGGATAGGCTTCCAGCACCATTCGACCAGGCAGCAGAGGAGCAGCACCGTCAGCAAGATTATCAACGTGTCTGTAAAGTATCAGGCACATTTATCATATTTTATATGAGTAAGTACTCTTCCCATAAAAACATCAGAGATTGCGCACACATGCGGAATTAAGACTCACTGGGTGTGGCAAAGAAGCGTTTCTTTTTAAATCCTAGTTATTATCATTATTTTGAGATTTCAGAGAAATGTGAGTATTTATTTATAGATTTAAAGTGCTTGTTCTCTAATCAATTTTCTTCCACTAAATCAAGTAATATTTTTATCTCTAGTTCCTTTCTATGAATTTGTATCATATGAAAGCGTGTTGAATTAATAGCAGTTCATTGTATAACATATTTTGCCGTGCAAAATTTTTAGTATTAGTCAGACCTAAATGTTTTGAATTTTTTGCGTCAATTTTTTTACCTTTACCTCTGGCCCCGTCTTGAGATATCATCGAGCTCAAGCATGATGTCACTTAAACACAAAGCTTTCCAATATCCTCAGAAGAAAATTCAGTTTGTTAAAAAAACAATAATGGTGGATATATCAATTTGATTGATGACACAATCCCGTAATTGCCGGATGAATATTACGTTAATTAAATTTGAAGGGCTTCGAAAATTCATAACTTGTATTTGTGTTATTTTTAACAAAAGTTTAAAAAACAAGACCTTGTTGATATTAAGTGAATAAGGAAACATATCAGAAACAACTTAGTCATGCGAATCAGATTTTTATTTACATATGACGTCACAAACCATCGCTGGACACGCTCATTTGCAAGACGTCATTCTTGAGTCTTGCTGTCTCAAGCAGCTGTTTTACGATCATAATGCGACTACATGAACCCAGTGGACACAGGTATCGAGAAGGAAATTTCGGAGCATTGTAGCACTGAAAACGAAAGTGATATTTGTGAGGAAACAAAGTAATATAATAAATACATTGTGCTTTCATGCTCGAGTTCTCAGTCTGTTAAATGTAATGTACACTTAATAAGTGACCATATGGTACTGTATGCATTGCCCAGTATTTGATTCCCTTTATCTAGACGTACCATTTCTCGAAAACGTTATTCTAGAAAGGATTCCCAGCTGACGACCGCCAGGGATTCCGCAACGAATCGTGAAATAGGTATATATAAATAATTACTATATTGAAATAGTGAATCAAGCTGTGTTGATTTAAACCGAACTATATAGTGAGTCAAAGAAGAAAAAGTAAGACTGGATGAGACCTTTTTTCAGTTTGTTTTTATTTAAAATACCCAATTCCAAAAATTAGTGTTTCTACGTGGATTTTATTTTATTTTGTATTCTTTAACTTTATGGTTTAATTTGGTCTTTTGGCCTTTTCATTATTTTCTACTAGTAACACACAGGCCTTTTTCGAGTGTCCTTTCATAAGAAAAAAATAACGATTGTAAGTAGCTTGTTAAGTTGGCCTACATACGGGTATATATAGGTTTGTGTTCCAAAAGTCACTGGGCTGCTTCCCGTTTCCATACCTTCATTTGTCCACGATAACAACCGCTCACAAAGCCAGAAGGTAATGAGTAAAAAGGTTTACTCTTAAAGTGATTTTTTCATTCGTCTTAGACTTAGATATTTACATATGTTCATGTCTATTAATGGCTCATTTGTTACCACTCAGTATTTGCAAGAACGTCATGGCTTTATACAC